ACTGGACCCCTTTCTTACACCTTATACAAAAATTAACTCAAGATGGATTAAAGACTTAAATGTAAAATCCACAACCATAAAAACCCTAGAAGAAAACCAAGGCAATTTCATTCAGGACATAGGCATGGGAAAATATTTCATGATGAAAACGCCAAAAGCAATTGCAACAAAAACTAAAGTGAACAAATGAGATCTAATTAAACAAAAAGCTTCTGCATAGCAAAAGGAATTATCATCAGAGTGAACAGTCCACCTACTGAACAGAAGATTTTTGCAATCCACCCATCTGACAAAGGTCTAATATACAGAATCTACAAGGAACTTAAACAAATTTACAAGAAAACAACAAACAACCTCATCAAAAAGTTGGCAAAGGATATGAACAGACATTTCTCAAAAGAAGACATTTATGCAACTAACAAACATATGGGGAAAAAAAGCTCAATATCACCGATCATTAGAGAAATTCAAATCTAAATCACAATGAGATACCATTTCACACCAGTCAGAATGGCGATTATTAAAAAGTCAAAAAACAATAGATGCTGGTGAGGCTGTGGAGAAATAGGAATGCTTTTACACTGTTAGTGGGAATGTAAATTAGTTCAATCATTGTGGAAGATAGTGTGCCAATTCCTCAAGGATCTAGAAGCAGAAATACCATTTGACCTAGCAATCCCATTACTGGGTATATGCCCAAAGAATATAAATCATTCTACTGTAAAACATGCACACACGTATGTTTATTGCAGCACCATTTACAATAGCAAACACATGGAATCAACCCAAATGCCCATCAATAATAAACTGGATAAAGAAAACACAATACATATACTCCATGGAATATGCAGCTATAAAAAGGAATTTGCTGGGCATGGTGGTGCACACCTGTGGTGCCAGCTACTAGGGAAGCTGAGGTAGGAGGATTGCTTGAGCCCAGGAAGTTGAGGCTACGGTGAGTTGTGTTTGCACCGTTGCACTCCAGCCTTGGTGACAGAGTGAGACCCTCTCTCAAAAAAAATGTTTTTAAATCATGTTGTTTGTAGATTCTGGATATTAGACTTTTGTCAGATGAGTAGAGTGCAAAAATGTTCTCCCATTCTGTATGTTGCCTGTTCACTCTGATGATAGTTTCTTTTGCTGTGCAGAGCTCTTTAGTTTCATTAGATCTCATTTGCCAATTTTGGCTTTTGTTGCGATTGCTTTTGGTGTTTTAGTGCCCCTCAATGATAGACTGGATAAAGAAAACATGGCACATATACACCATGGAATACTATGCAGCCATAAAGAAGAATGAGTTCATGTTCTTTGCAGGGACATGGTTGAAGCTGGAAGCCATCATTCTCAGAAAATGAACACAGGAACAGAAAACTGAACACTGCATGTTCTCACTTGTAAGTGGGAGTTGAACAATGAGAATGTATGGACACAGGGAGGAGAACATCACACGCAGGGGCCTCAGATACAGTCAGGGGGTGGGGGACAAGGGGAGGGAGAGCATTAGGACGAATATCTAAAGTATGTGGGGCTTAAAACCTAGATGGCCAGTTGATAGGTGCAGCAAACCATTATGGCACACATGCACCTGTGTAACAACCTGCATATTCTTCACATGTATCCTGGAACTTAAAGTAAACTAAAAAATAAAATAAAAATAAAAATTATGTTTACAAACAACAACAATAAAAGTTGATTTCATAGAAGGAGAGAGTAAAATAGTGATTATTAGAAGGTGAAGATTTAGGAGGAGTGGGGAACAGGGACAGGTTAGTCAACAGATCTATGTTATACTTAGAATTAACAAGCTCTGATATTCTATTGTACAAAAGTGTGAGTATAGTTAACAATAATGTATTGTAACTTCAACATAGCCAGAGAGGATTGTGAATGTTCTTAACTCAAAGAAATAACAGGTGTTTGAGATGATGGATATGCTAATTATCCTGGTTTGATTATTATGCAATGTATACAGGTATCGAAGTATCACACTGTACCTTATAAACATATACAATCATTATGTGCCACTTAAGGATAAAACTTTTAAAAAGATATGAAACTTCCACATTATAAGGGAAAGAATGAAACAAAGAAGAGAAAATTAAAATAAAAAATTCTTAAAGCATGATATATACAAAAAAAGATAAAGGAAATGGAACGTCAAAATCAATTACAAATATATTAACAATTGCATGAATCTTAAAAGACAAATTTGTATGAAAAACAAACAAAGATTCTTAGAGTGCATATATATCCATCTATTATAAAGTTTTCTGTAATGGCAAACCTAAAAATTTGACCAACCTTCCCAATGGGAAAACTAATAAAACTCAGATGAAATATTTTAAATATGTATTCGAAGGCATCACAAACATAAAATAATAAGGAATGACTTAGAAAACTTCTAACTGCAGAAAGTATAAACTCAAATAGACAGGTTCAGGACTCAAAGCCACTTCAGCCCAGAAAACATTTGTTAAACAGGAAAAAAAAAAGAAAGAAACTGAGCTATGGTTTATAGAGAAGTAAAAACCCTCAACCTATCCAAAAGGTGAGAGGTAAAACACCACTTGAATTTAGCCTTCTTTTTCAAAAAAAAAAAAAAAAAAAAAAAAAAAAAAAAAAAAAAAAATTTAAAAAAAAAAAAAAAAAAAAAAAAAAAATCCAAAATAAATAATCTAAGCTTCCGCCCTAGGAAACTAAATCCAAAGTAAGCACAAGAAAAAAATTAATAATAAAAATTAAGACAGAATCAATGAAATTGAAAATAGGACATTGTTAAAGAAAATCAACAAAACAAAAAGCTAGTTCTTTGAAAAGATCCATAAAATTGATATGCCATTAAAAAGTCTAACTACAGAAAATAAAAGAAAGAAGACACAAGTTACTAATATCAGAAATGAAAAGGAAAACATCACTAAAAGTCCCATGGGCACTGAAAGGATAATAATGGAATAGTATGAACAAATCTGTGTCCACAAATATAACTTAAATAAAATAGACCAATATTGGGAAAGCCACAATCTGCTAAAACCCATACAAGAAGAAATGGGATTTAATAGGCCTATTTCTATTGAAGAAATTAACTCAATAATTAGTAACCTTCCCAAACAGAATGTACCAGGCCCAGATGGGCCCACTGGTGAATTCTATCAAACATTTAAGGAAGAATTTATGACAATTCTCTGCAATCTTTTCTAGAATATGGAAATAGAGTAAATACTTTCTAGCTACTTCTATGAGGCCAATAATACTCTAATAACAAAAGTGAATAAAGTAATTGCAAGAAAAGAAAACTACAGACCAACATCTCTCATGAATATGGATGTAAAACTCCTTAATACAGTACTAGCAAATAGAAACCAATAATGTATAAAAAGACTTATGTATCATACCCAAGTGGGATTTATCTCAGGAATGCAAGGTTACTCCAACACTTGAAAATCAATTAATTTAATTTATCACATCAATAGGCTAAAGAACAACTACATGATAATATAAATAGATACAGAAAAAGCACTTGACAAAATCCAACACCCATTTATGATTAAACACTCTGAGCAAACTAGGAATAGAGAGATTTAAAAAATCTATTTTAAAAACTACAGTTAACATCATACTTGATGAGAAACTAAAAGCTTTGCACTAATAGGCCTATTTCTATTGAAGAAATCACTTGCACTAAGATCAGGAACAAGACAAAAAAATGTCCCCTCTCATTACTGCGTTTGAATATCATACTGAAAGTCCTAGTAGGGCATAAGACAGAAAAATGAAATTAAAGGTATACAGACTCAGAAGGAATAAATAAAACTGTCTTTGTTTTCAGATGACATGATTTTTACAGAAAATCCAAAATATCCAAAAATCTCTCCTGGAACTAGTAAGGAATTATAGAAAGGTTTCGGGATACAGAGTTAAGATACAAAAGCCAATTGCTCCCTTATGTAGTAGCAATGAACAAATGGAATTTGAAATAAAAAACACAATACCATTTACACTAGCAGCCCCAAATTTGTTAGATATAAATCTATATACAAAATTGATATGAGAAAAACTGCAGAGCTCTGAAAGAAGAAATCAAATAATAACTAAATAAATGGAGAGATATTCCATGTTCATGCATAAGAAAACTCAATGTTATTGTGGTGCCATTCTTCCCAACTTGATCGATAGAGTCAACATAGCCTTAATCAAAACCCTGGCAAATTACTTTATGGATATCAACAAAATTATTCTGAAGTTTATGCATCAAATTATTGCCCTAAAAATTTCCAGCATGCTTGATTTATCATTTTTATTCTAGAATATTTTATGAAAGAATTCAGAGAATGGATAGTGAGTACAAAACTGGCACTAGTAGGTGTACAACACATATTGACTATGTTTCATCTATTTATTACAACAGAAGAGTGCTTTTAAGTTAAAGAAATGAAATAGAGAATACCATAACATATATTAATTTAATTCATTTTCTCCTATTGTTATCATTTAATATTAACCTTAGATATGGTCTCACACCTTCCTTGTCATAATCTTCACAAAGTGGTAAAATAGAAGGGGGTAGATACTGGAATCAAACTGACTCATTAAGTTATTTAACATCCTAATTCCCAGTTTTCACTATTATACCTCAAGTAACTGATATGAGGAATAATCAGGAACATTGTGGATACTCAATAAATGTTTGTGTTCTCATTCCTTTACCTCATCCCATGCCTGCCTCACTGGGGTAGAATCACTCAGCTCCAGAGCCTCATAACAAATGCTCTGTTCACTATAGCTGATATGCTGGTTTTAGAGATGTGAGGGGGAATAGTGGTTTTTCTGTTAGTAATGGTTGCCTCACTGGGGTTAGGAAAGAGGCTGAGGCAGAGCATCTCATTCCACAGCCTAATAAAAGAATGAAACATTCTTTTTGTTGCATCCCTAACTCAGAGTCAACTGATAACCTTCTCCTAATATCAATATGCCAGTAGTAGAATTACTGAAGTGATGGAAAACAGGTAGGGGTTGATCAAGATTAGACATCACCATCTAGGTATCTAATCATGAAAGTAATGTCTTCCCACTGCCAAAAAGTTTACACAAAGCCTCCTTCATGTCTCTGTTCCTTAAGCTATAAATGAATGGGTTTAGCATGGGAATAATCACCATGTAGAGAACAGCAGCCCTTCTTGTCCTCTCTGTAGAGTAAGTTGATGGAGGAAGTAAATACACACCCATAAGAGACCCGTAGAAAAGCAGAACCACTGTGAGATGAGAGCCACAGGTAGAGAAGGCCTTCCATCGCCCTCCAGGAGATGAGATGCCAAACACAGCCCAGGAAATGCAGACATAGGAGAAGATGATCAGCAGGAGGGGAACAGTGAGGAACAGCAAGCCCATGGTGATGATCATCAGCTCGTTTACATGGGTATCTGTACAGGCAAGCTTCAGGAGAGCACTGGGATCACAGTAGAAATGGGGGATGGCCCTCTGGGCACAGAAACCCACGCGGGTCAGCAGCAGTGTGTGCATCAGGGCAGGACAGTTGGATAGCACCCAGCACACACCCAGCATTAGTGCACAGAGCTGGGGACTCACAGCTGTGCTATAATGGAGTGGCTGGCAGATGGCCACATAGCGGTCATATGCCATCACAGCCAGCAGGCAGTTGTCAAGGCCACCAAACATAAGGAGGAAATATAGCTGTGTAAGACACCCAGAATAGGAGATGGTCTGACTCTGAGTATGAATGTTGGCCAGCATTTTGGGGATTGAGGCAGTAGTGAAACAGGCATCAGTTAATGATAGGTTGGCCAGAAAGAAGTACATGGGAGTATGAAGGTGTGGGTCAGAGCTGATGGCCAGGATGATGAGCAGGTTTCCCACCATGGTGACTAGGTACATGCCAAGGAAGATGCCAAACAGAAGAGGCTGCTCCTCTGGCCGCTCAGAGAGTCCTAGAAGGAGGAAGTCTGAAACAGTGGTTTGGTTCACTCTGCCTGGTTTTCCCATCCCTTGTAGTTCTTGTTATCTGCGCAGATAAAACCTTCCATGTGTCAGTATTTATTTATTAGATCAATTTACAGATATGCATCTGTGTGGCCAGAACTGTGCTGGGAGAAAACAAAAAAGAAAAATAAATGGTCTTTGCCAATAAGAATCTCTGAATCTCATTGGGAATGCAAGGAAATACCCAAGAAACGTTTAAAGAACATTTAAGATAATATCCATTCAAATCTCAATTGTACTCTCTATGCTATAGCAGAATCCAAAGAAAAGAGATTCATTTGACCAGAGAAATCAGCATGGGCTATTTAGAGGAAGTGAGAATTGAGAATAGCTTGATGGCAGCCGGGCGCGGTGGCTCAAGCCTGTAATCCCAGCACTTTGGGAGGCCGAGGCGGGTGGATCACGAGGTCAAGAGATCGAGACCATCCTGGTCAACAC